AAAACCCATAAATAGACAATTGTTCAAAAATAAAAATCAAATGCCTAATGTGGATGAATTATTGGATTGGGTCAGCCAAATAATCATAGCAAATGAAAGCGGTACACTGTATTTCTCAGTATTAGATCTGAAGTATGCCTACAGTCAACTTAAGCTGACTGCAGAGACAGCTAAACAATGCAATTTTAACATCATAGGTGGGCAAGCTACTGGAACATACAGATTTTTGACCGGATTTTACGGTTTGGCAGATATGCCAGCGGAGTTTCAAAAAGCTATGGACAGAACATTGAACCATGCGGAAAATACATTCTGTTTTCTTGACGATATACTCATTGTGTCTAAAGGAAAGGAACAAGAACATGAAAAATTGATCATGAACGTGCTGGAAAAGTAAGACAAAGAAAACTTAGCACTAAAATTGTCGAAATGTGAACTCTTTCAACAGGAGGTGAATTGTTTGGGACATAAGTTATCGATGGAGGGTATTTCTCCAAAGATAATAAAAACGGAAGCGATATTGAAGCTTAGTCCGCCAACCTCATTGAAACAACTTAGATAATTTCTGAGTAGTATAAATCATTTGGCCAAATTCATTCCAAACGCAGCTACCTTAACTGAAAAGTTGAGACCTCTGCTGCGAGAAAAAAATGAGAAAAAAAAAACTCAAAAGTGGGAAAATTCAAGTAAAAAATTCGAATGGAAAGAAAAACATTGGGAGATTTTCAAATCAATAAAAGCAGCGGTTGCGAACATAACAAAATTCATTATTACGACCCTAAGTTGGCTACTAGGGTAAAATGTGACGCCAGCCATAGTGGGCTAGGCGCATCGTTGGAACAACAAAAAGTGGAGGGGAAGTGGATACCGATCGCATTCGCGTCGAGATATTTAAACACACAAGAAAAAAAATACTCCACAAGTGAGTTGGAACTGCTAGCAGCAGTATGGTCGGTTGACCGATTTAAACACTATTTGTTAGGAAAAGAAATCGTGATAGCCACGGACCATAAAGCACTGGTTTCTGCCTTGGATGAAAATAAGTCAAATAAAAGCTACCAATCTAGGCTGACTAGATGGGTAGACAGATTACTACCCTATCAATTTAAGGTTCTTCATTTACCAGGGAAAGATATGGGTATAGTAGAATACCTATCTAGAAACCCGAAGGGTGAACCATGGCAGGAGTCAGTATTGGATGAAAAATTTGTAGTCACATCGATCGAAAGTTTTCATAAAGCTCTCGACTGTTTAAACAGTCGACTGAGTGATCCTGATAGGCTCGACCGGAAGGAAAACGTTCTAGAATATTCTAGAATTGATCAAAATGCATCAAATCAGAATACGTCATCTACCCGTTGCTATGGCAACCAAAACGGTTCAAAACGGACAAAGCACGACCGGAACGGAAGAAATGAAGATTCGCGTTCGTTTCAACGAGAAAAGTTTGAAAACTCAAAAATCAGTTTATCTCAAAATCGTCAGCAAATACAGTCGGTCGAATCAGTTCGAAAAATCGGAAAGTTATCAAGTCGTGAATCAGAAAATATGCATTCTGGCGAAACAATAAAAAGAGGAAAAGAAAACAAGATGGTCAGAATTCAGGATCGGAAAAACGCAGACACATTGAGGGAGGAAATAACAGAAACGACGTTCCAAAGAACCAGAATGATACAAAGGACCCCAAACAGATCAGAGTCAGAGAATTCGGACTTTGAACAAATACCACAGGCGAATTGGAACCGGATGAACAGACAAATCAGAACAGACACGGGAAATAGCGGTCAGTCAACATCAACTGCTATAACAGCCCAACCAATGTTAGTTTCATTTTGGGAACTAATAGGATCGGAAAGGAGTAAGGAACCCCGATCAAGGATGGAAATAGAAGCCAATTCGGTGATGCAGAGCCCGAAACCACCGGGACAAACCCAATCAGGAGATGAACCTGAGATTGGACAAATCTTTGAAGTGGATTTAACGATGGACATCATTGATGAACCGGACTACAGTTCAGGAACTGAGACTTGTATGGTCACACCGCAACAGAAAACGAGAGGTGGACATAAATCGCGGAAAAGCAATTACCAACTGTCGGAGCAGTTAAATGAAACAAATGGCCCACTATCACTCGAGAAATTATTCGACAAAAGTCTACTGGCGGAACTAGTATCAGAAGATACTTAGATGGATCGGCTCAGGCGAGTGGTGGAACGGAACGACAGACACGGGTTTGAGCTAATGGGTCCATACACCAATCCTCTGTGGCACCAGATGTCGGTAGTAGATGACTGCCTACTGGTGGACAATCGTTTAGCCGTACCAGAGAAGCTGAGACAAGCGGTGCTTCGACGACTTCATCAAGCACATCCTGGCCAAGAAGCGATGTTGGAGGTTTCCAACTACTTATGGTAGCCAGACATGCACAAAAACATAGTCAATATGGCCGAAGAAAGTAGGAGTTGCACTCGTTATGGTAAGAATGCTAAATATGTAATTCCAAAAAATTCGGCCAAACCACTTCCACTGTTGACACAGTCTGGTCAAGAATTGCAATTAGACTATGCGGGTCCACTCGAAGACCATAAGGGGAAGATATATTTGTTAGTTGCTATTGATAGATACTCAAAATTTCCGTCAGTTAAAGTAACGAAATCTACAGGGGGAAAATCAACAATAAATATTCTACGTACCTATATTGACACACATGGAATACCAGAATCGATTAAAACGGATCAGTTTTCCGGGTTTAAAGGAAAATCAATAAAAAAGTTTTGCACCGAAAATAATATTACTCAAAAATTCTGTCCAGTCGATGATCATCGAGGATGTGGACTAGTCGAACGAACGATACAAACTATTAAACAAAGATTGAGAGTAATGCTACTCGAAGAAAAAGTACAATCTATTAAACTGTGCTCGAGCACAATAATTAGGACCTAAGATGGAATAAACAGAAAACAATTAAGTTGTCTCCGTTTGAAGCGCATTTTGGTCGATTACCAAAAATTGAGTTTAAAATTGCAAGGGATAAATTTCTGAAGGAATCTGATCGTTTAGATAAAGAACATTTGGAGAGATCGGCGTTAATAGCATCGCAGTTAAAGAGACGCATCGATCAATCCAGGGACAATGTAAAAATCATACGAAAAGGTCAGAATAGCCGGATGGTCAGCCCACTGTTTCTATGCAACACTGCGGCGGCAAAAGAAAGAGCTAGGGCAAAGGAACTAAAGCAGCTACTAGAGGCCAATGCGAGATGGAATGTCACCAGACGGGATATCTCAGATAGCGAGCTACGACAAATTGTAGACGAAACGAGCACAATAAATCCCGAACTGAGAAAGGAACTCCTCTACTCATGGGAAAGAGGATTTATCGAAGACAAACAGACTACATCGAATGATAGCTGGTCAGGAAGCTTCCTCCGCAAACATGAGCAAAGGAAAAGTGGAAAGACCCTAACAATACCGTTGAAAAACAAAATAGTGGCAGAGACACCATCAACAATCAAAACGGCTGCTGGTGCAGTATAACGAAAGAGTGATATAGCGAGATCAAAACTGCAAACACAGCCCAAAGCACAGAGTTCGGAGAAAAAGAGGAGCCCAACGTAGGAGCAAACAACAGAAGACAGTATCACATCATGAAGACGTAGACAGTGAGTCGGCTGAAGAACATGATGCGAAAGACCAGGGGCCAACCGATCAGGAAATAGAAGACAATCGACTAATGGACAAGTTTCAAAACTCGCCAAACGTAGTTACGTCGAAAGAAACAAAGACGGGCGGGGGCCTAAATTTAGGAGGAAAAAGGGTTAAGCCAAATAGAGCAGGCCCACTAGTCCAAAGTGCAAGAGCTGCAAAGGTCAAGACGCAAGAGCCACGTACAACGAAAGCTGTCAAAACAGCAAAAGAATCAAAGAAGCGGGATACGAGCAATGAAGCCGTCTACTTAGAGTCGGCTGCACCGAAAGAAGCCCCAGTGAGTAAAAGGATCACACGGCAAACTAGCGAAAAGGAAATTATGGACACATTCCAGAATAACAATATGACAACAAAAGAATGGGAAGAAATCACAAACCAGCTTTTGACCCGAGGGATACAAAACGAAGCAGAAAAACTACTGACTCAACATGCGGAATCAGTCGACAATAGCCCGGCAGTTTTTGCGGACGAGTCGGACAAAGAAGAGGATACAGCGACAGTCAGACGAAGCAGTCGATTAACAAAGAACCAGGGACCAAAGAGATACGGCAGCCCCGTATCACACTCTTTAAAGTTGATTAGTTGTGATGACGATATGACAGAGCTAAATTTTGCAGCACTTGAGGCCTACAGATTGAGATTGGCGAAGTTAAACATCAATAACAAAGAAACAACATTGGAGAACAACACGTTTGACCTACTAGAGAGACATCTGTTCAAAAGGAAATTCGGAGCTACATCGTTGGATGAGTCGGGATTGTGGAACGCTGCAAGAAACAAAGCGGAAGTGATGAAGAAAACAACCAAGGAAAACTAAGCTAAAATGAAAACAATTCAGTAAACTGAGACTTATATACTATTTATAAAATTTTATAAGGTATTATATAAAATTTTGTTGTCCTCAGGGGAATGTGGTACCGTGTAGTACTGTTGCCACAGTAACCTTGGAGAAAGTGTTATTAATATTCTGTTATGTATTGTTAGTAATATTCAAGGCCATCCATGCAGGTCAAACGTAACAGTCATTTGGACGGTTGCGATCTTAGGAGACACATGAACGTGAGTGATCTCCAACAAAACCAAGTAAATCAGAAGTCAAAATTAAATGTTTCAATTATTCTCTTTTGATCTTACCTACTCATAGCATAACATTATCACAATAGATATGTTTTATTTTTATAAATATTTTATGTTTCATTTGGAAAGAAAGTCAAAAATAGTAAACAGTAGGAATATCATAAATTTATTTAAAATGTTAATTTTGACGAATTTGATTGGCGTGTTTGATTTTAGTGACACTGAAGTGGAAGTGTATTTTGTGGTGGATGATGGGGCAAGTACAGTGAATGACCTAGACACCGTCATGCAGTTCCTCCCGCAGCAAGAACTGTACGACATTCTGGCAAAAACAGACTACGGAGACCCCACACAACAATATATCGGTAAGTTCACTTAATTTGTCTGCGGTTGTTTAAAAAAGGCCAGCATTTTTGCCACTCAAGCAAAAGTGCGAGGGTTCGAGGCCATCAGTGATAGGCACTCATTTCTTAAAGGAGGCCAATTTTTTTACTAACCTGAAAAAAATTGAAAATGATCACTTTATTTTCATTCAAATTATTGTGTAAAGACTGTAGTTCTTACCGTCAAGTCATAACTGTTTTTCGAGGAACACTCCTACTGTGGACGATGGTTGACCTCCCGATAACGGACAAACTTTGTTCCTCTATATTGTTTATTGAAAGTTCTCATCAGCAGTTGTACTTTAGACTCATACACGTACACCAGTCCCATAGGAGTGAGTAGCAACCCCATTTATTACGTCAGCAGATCTGATTCCCCTCCCCCAGTCGGGGACAAGAAGAGGTGGGTGGAGTCGCCGGGAGGCACTGCCGTATTCGTTTTGCTGGGGCTTCTCGGCTTCATCCTCCTCTCGGCTATGATGCTCTACGCGACGTACTCTATTGTTCGCTACATCAGGCAAGCCTCGTTTTTATTTTTTAAAATCTGGGATAATTTCTTTTAAATCACAAATTTCTAGATTTGTTTCAGATTCTAGATCTTTTCTAAGAGAAACATGTCAGGACACTGGCTCAGTAACATTGTAATTTGAATGGCATTTCTAGTGGAAAATACAAATATTTAGCTACGCCTTCAAATATGGCACCAAACACGTTTTTAGAATTTTTCGACCAACGCGCTTCTATAATTTTTCGACTGACCTGCTTTTTTTGTCAGGTTTGCATTTTAGTCTGTTTTGTTTTTTAGTTCCAAAAATATCTTTTAATTGCAGATCTCGAAAAGTGATTGGGCCAGACATGGAGGCCAGGAAGAACTGGAAAAAGGCCATAAGGAAAGCCATGCTCATCAGTCGATTGTCCACTGCCAAGGCCATAGACCCAAGTACCAGTTTATTCTGATTAATAACATACAGCCAATCAGTGGAATATTATGAAAAGTTTTGCTCCTTTGTTTTTTTTTTGCTTCCTCATTTATTACATGTCCTCCCAAACTAAACAAAAAAAACACGAATTTTATCTTATTATCTCAATACTATACCAAAAAAGGAAAGCAGTATTTATCATTCAAACTATCAAAGCATAACAAATGGTTGAAGTGATGATAACACCCTATAAAATCTCGATTTTTAGTCCAATGGACTTTATATTTTGTGGTATACTATGGCGCAAGTGGTAGTGATAGGCTATTGATGGCAATCATCTGGTTGCCGGTTCGAAACTCGAGCTTGCGCTTTAATTTGCAGGTGAGCTTTTGCAATTAGACTTAGCTCAGTTAAACTTTAATAATTTACATTCATGTTCGACTGTTTAAACAAATAAAAAACAATTTCTGTAGCAACTGGGCGTGTGTACGTGTACAACAAGATGACCAGGTCCTCCAGATGGCTGCAGACGGTGACAGGGGAGGCTATCAAGACGGACCAAGAATACTGGATGGAGGAGGTGGATGATCCGAATCCCACCAAGGCAGACACTCAGAGGGAGGCAGTCGAAGAAGCAGACACTGAGAAACGGACAGTCAAAGAAACAGACTCTGAACAGGGGACATTCAAAGAAGCCGACACTGAGAAGAAGACAGTCGAAGAAGAAGAGGCTGAAAAGGGGACTTTCAAAGAACCAGACACTGAGAAGAAGACAGTCGAAGAAGAAGAAGAAGAAGAAGAAGAAGAAGAAGAAGCTGAAAAGAGGACAGTAGAAGAACCGGAGACGGAACGTGAAGAAAAGCTTGGGTTTGATTATGAAGAGCGAGGGCGAGAGAAGAAGGTTTGGTTCGAGATTCCAGTAGTCGAGTGAACAGAGAGGAAGGAAAGTACGAACAAAACAGCTACTGACGAAAAAATATATTATCAAAACATTGATTTAATTCAGAAAAACTGGGGACAAATCTACAATACGAAATGAAGAGCAAAAACTAGTCTTAGGACTGCTGTGTAATGATTTATGACTTTTTTTAACCCAGTAGTGACAAATTTGTGAATCAATGATATATATGTGGACATATGTGGACTGCTTGTGTAAAACAACACCATATTTCTTATTTTATCACAAGTTTTATATAACAATCAGATAAAAATCTGAAGATGCTTATGTATGTAGAGGAAGAAGAACGAGATAATGAATTTTTCTCAATTCAAATATGCTGCTATCCCAAGATCTCGCCTTGACTTGAAACGCATTCGCAGCCAATATATACTACTTTTGAGGTGTGTGAGCTCCGAAAAACAAAATTGCAATGCGTCTGGAATGAAATATCATTTGATAGATCCTGCATAGCATATTGCAGAAATCAAAACTAATTTAAATTAAAAAAGAGTTGATGGAAGTAGTGAAATAGATTGATGGATGTATCAGTCTTGATGATTTTTTCTGGAAGTCTTAAATTGGTTTACACTGAATTTGAATTTTTCGCGTTTTGACTTTGATTTCTTTGCGTTCACAGTGTGGTCACGGTATCATTTCTGTCAGTGCCAAATCAGTGCGAAGCATGATCTGTTAGTGCCATCAGTGCCATCAAATTAATATGAGTGCCAGTTTTTTTTGTCGCGCCTCTTTACTGAACTGTTCAAAATCAAAAGTCTAAGAAGGGTTACTCAGTTTATTTTTTTTCGAATAGTATGAGCAGTATGAGAAGAAGAAATTGGCAAATGCGTTTTCAATGACGCCTGATTGGCAATGGAGGGTTTCAGTGTTTGGATGGGAAAGGCAACAAATAACATGAATTTCGATGTAAAGTATGCAACAAGTCGTTTTCTATGGGGAATATGGGGATCATGGTGATGAAGTCACATTCCAAACGGAACAAAAACCATCCAAAATTGAATAATCTAAGGCGCCAAACTATGAATGTAAAGCAAACTGGAGCAAAACTCTGTTGAGTCTAGCTCAGTTTCGAATGACGTTTTGAAACTTGTTGCCGAGGAAAGTTTGCCTACCCCTTAACCAGTGTTAGTAAATGATGCTACACGCAAGGCATAAATTTTTCATGCATTACATTTGGTTGAAATATGTTCATCTTCTTGCAGCTCGGAATAAGGCACCAGTTGTTCAAGATCATGTTACCCGAAAGTGCTATAACTGGCGGCTATCAATGCTGAAAGCAAAGACTATGAATAACTTGAAGTGATCTAGTGATCTATGAATAACTGGAATTAGTGATCTATTCACAGTTGAAATGCTTGCGGTTGTGAAGAAAACCAATTTTTATGTTCTCCCGTTTGATGAATGTTCACAGTATGAATCTCAAGAAGTGGCAGCTCGATATTCATATTCGAGTATGGGATAACAAACAGCTTAAAGTTTAGTGGTAAATTATGTTGGTATCTTAAGTACACAGCGATAGTAGGGAAGTGGGTTGGTAATAACTTGTTCAATCATTCGTAATAGAAAGAAATGACAGTTGTATGCAGATAAAGCGCATTTCGAATGATGTAGAAAACTAATACACGAATGCGGGGGATTTAGATGCTAGGTAGAAATCATGCGTATGCGCAACTACCACAGAGGCTAAACTCCCTTAGGTAGCAAATGGTATAATACCGAGCATTTTTTCAGGAGAAAAATAAGCTAGAAGGGAAGACTGTAGAATATGAAAGTCTAGGCTAACCTAAGTAGTGCGTGGACACATTCCTGTGGCTAGAGCGCAGTGACCCTCCCCTTTTTGTTTCCCTTCGGATTGTACGCGACAGCATACATAAATAGCTTCTGGCCCAGTTCGGCCTTGCTTATGCCCGGCGACGTAGTTCCATTTAGGAGGGTTCAGGCCACTTCGGTACTCGTAGATATGCACACCGAGTAGTTCAGCCAAAATGGGCATGTCCGATTCAATAATACCCCGACCGAGTAACGACTGTTTGGGGTCGAAGTAAGGGCAATAAAAAGAACTCAGGCGGCACGCCTGTTTTTTCTGTTGCTCCTTGGTTCCCTCTGTAAGGCCCAGGACCTTACTCGGTTCCCAGTTAGAAAATGAATGCAATTAAGGAAGCAACAGGATCCCCCAAGCGCGCACTCCATCAAAACGAATTCGTGAGAAATCGGGTCAATGGTATCGTGGTCATTGAGGGAAACAGGTTTCCGCCCAAGCGATAGTCCCAGGGTTCGACAAACACGTGCTCTGGACTCTATACTCAAATGGGGCATCGGGACGTCAGATACGAGAAACATTCGCTGTATTGAGCATTCTGAGCAATTTGCGCACACAAAAAGGCAGCTTCCCGTTTCCCGTAAATTATCGGTGTGATACTTGCGATTAGCGGAACGCTCCAGCTCCAGATAACCCCCTTGGTAAATTAAATCCTCCTGATCAATATGCACAAGGGTAGGAAGGGTGTTCATCTCATGAAGCACTATTTTTCCTTTCCTGTAAAGCGTGTTGTCAGTCAATGTGAACGAGGCAGCTTTACGCTTAAACGCCTTCTGTTGAGGATTAGTTAGGTCGGGAAGGGGCTTACGATCACCCGTTAATACAGCCCGGCGATAATCGACTATTCTCTTGTATGTTTCGAACTTCATGGTTTGCAAAAATTGGAATTGATTAAAGCGTACGAGTTAATAGTGGACATACGTTGTAAACTTGGTTTTGTCAATAGAGCTAAGTAGCAGAGTAAACAATTGGTTAAGTTTAGGGTTTAGGGTCGTGGTAAGGGTCGTGGTAATATGCAAAAGGGTAGGAAGGGTGTTCATCTCATGAAGCACTATTTTTCCTTTCCTGTAAAGCGTGTTGTCAGTCAATGTGAACGAAGCAGCTTTACGCTTAAACGCCTTCTGTTGAGGATTAGTTAGGTCGGAAAGGGGCTTACGATCACCCGTTAATACAGCCCGGGAATAATCGACTATTTTCTTGTATGTTTCGAACTTCATGGTTTGCAAGAATTGGAATTGATTAAAGCGTATGAGTATTGTGGACATACCTTGTAAGCTTGGTTTAGTCAATAGAGCTAAGTAGCAGAGTAAACAATTGGTTAAGTTGCGAAATCGACCAAAACAAAGAGAGACTAAGCAGGATTTTAAAACGGTACAGAGTTTGCAAACCCCAACGCCACCTTGTGCAGACATAGACTCACTGTTAGAGTTCATCAGAATCCAAAGAGAAACAAACAAAAAGAATAGTTCTAAGTGCCACAGGTGTAAATCAAGCTGAATACAAAAGCGCGCTCACTATGTTTTATTGTAACTCTTATTCAACCTTACGTCATAACTGCTCCTCAATGTCAATTCATATGTCAATTCTCCCCAAATGGAAACTACCGGGGCTAGCTTTATGAAACTCATATGACGGATACTAGAGATGATTTGAGCCGGGCATGCAAAAATCCAGACCCTTCGGACCCACAGCCCTAAGTGATAACGATTCCCGGAAATGCAAATTGCACTATCAGAACTCGGTAACTAGTGGTTGGAATAGGCTCAAAATCTAGGATGTTGAAGGCCTAATTGAGGGAAGCTTAAATTTGGAACCCCAGACCCCTAAGACCCCCACTTTCCCGGCCTCCAATGAATAGAGGGAGATGAAACTTGGATGAATTTTAGTTAGTGGCAAGATACATCTTGTATTATAACTTGAAGCAAATCCGGCGATTCAGCCGGAAGCCAATAGCACTTGGAAAAACACCCTCTTAGACAATTTGCGCGAAGTGATGAATGGTGACATAACCATTTTATTGCGACAATTGCGATAATAGTTTTTTCCGGAAAAAGAGATAATGGACCTTAGAAATGGGATAACTTGTGAAGTATTAATGGGATATGAATGAAACTTGGTAGTTCAGACCCCCACGGAATTCTGAACCTAAATATGGAAATTTGACCCCGGTTGACCCCTGGGTGACCTTAAGTTGACCTTTGGGCGTTTTGAACCAAACTTGCATGGAAAACCCCGAGATTGACACCGGAAAGTGGCGTATTCCCCAGCCCAACCCTGGAAATGAAAATGGGTCACCTTGCTAAAAATTAGGAAGAAAACATATATATTGGGAGTTAGAGCAGAAGTCGATCGAGGTACAGTTTTACATTGCAACCTTGGAGTAGTGGATTTAATTCAAAGTGGACTTGGTAAACATTGCGTTCAGTTTAGCTTGGCGAGTGATCTATTAATAGCAACTAGACTAAAGAAAAGTAGTCCCAGAGGAAATTGATAGTAATAGGACCGTAGCATGAGAATTAAGAATCCTAAATCTTATGAACGGACGGGGGTTCTACTTGGCTTCCCGGAGGTGACTTTTTGGTTTGATTTGACACCTAATAGACGAAATACCTTACCCTGATAGCTAGAAGGTCGGGATTAGAGGCAGAAGAATTTTTGCTAGCGAATCGAGTAGTTGGTTCTCGAAGTAAGAGAACAACAAAGCAGAAATAGTAGATAGTTAATTCTCGTCAGAGATTCTCTAGTGAGATAATAGTTCAGTATTAGTGGAATTAGCTGGAAGTTAATGGCAATAAGGCAATTTATGCTGGCAAATCGCACACCCTTTCCTTTTGATTTGATTATTAGATTATAACCTGGCCACTCAGAGCCCTCTGTAATCAGACGTATAATCATCTGAATTAAATGACAATTAGAAACTCTTGCAATTTTATCGAGTAGACAAGACAGCCGGAAAAGCAATACACAAAAGGGGCAAGCAACAGAGAGCAGTACAGGATTTTTGCCACCAAACCAACCCTTTCGGGATTGTAGAAAGTAGTGAATCTCAATCATCCCGCTGAATTCACTGCTAACAGGACAGCTTGCGAAGGAATCCCCTAATTCTCTAATCCTTGCACAATTGTTGTTAGAAAGATAAGCAGCTGATAAGACAGGATTTACCCGAAACCATGAAAAAAATTACTTACATGAATCGTAATTATGTGTGAGGAAATGACGGCAAAAATCTTACTCGAGAGGTTTACCTCAAAGATAGCTAAACCGCCTTGTAAAATTACACGCTCAATGTAAAGCTCAAAATGGTAGAAAATTGAACTAGACTTTTTAGAAAACCCATATTGTCTCACT